GTTGAACACATGCTCTGTGGTTCGTGTTCATGCATGTGCTCTTAAATACCAAATACATTCATAGCATTTAGGTTGAGGGTGGGGACGGAATTTAGCAGAAATGTGCATCTAAATAATGCATGGCTGTGGCTCCAAGGTAAGAGTCTGTTGTCAAAACTGTCTAAGAATAACTAAAGTGCTTTTGATAGGAAAGGTTTGGGGCAATATTTCTTTACGTACTGTGCTCACTTTAGCATGGAGAAAAACCACACATTCACTGGGTGTTTCCCCTTGTGAGAGCCAAAAGCTTTTCCCATCAAAAGCGTAAACGTTGCTCTGTATCTCCAGCTACCGCTTTAGTGAGGAAGAAACCCATCAACAGCAACACGTGGAGCAAAGCCAAGCAGAGGCTAATAACTCTAGCTTCCTGGTGATCTCTTTTGACTTGTCTCCTGTCCAGACATAGTGGCCATTGGTATATGCAGGTCCCACCAGAGTGATACAATGCGCATCTTAAGCTTTATCATCAAAAAAAAAAAAAAATGCCAAAAAGAGATCAAAAAATTAAATGTCCTTGATGGCCACTGATAAGGTCTGAAGAATGGTGCCTGGAGACATCAGTTCCTAATCCCCACCCCTTGGGAATTGTGACTTTATTTGGAAAAAGGGTCTTTTCCAATGGATTGAGTTAATGATTTTTAGATGGGGAGATCATCGTGGATTATTGGGTGGACCTAAAAGGCAATCACTGGGGGCCTTAAGAGAAAGAGGTAGAGGGAGATTTTACTCACCGACGTGGAGAAGCCCACGTGACCACGGAGAAAGGGATGGGAGTGATGCAGCCCCAGGCCCAGAATGGCCAGAAGCCACCAGAAGCTGAAGGACGCAAGGGATCCATTCTCCCCTCGAGCTTCGGGAGGGCACATGGTCCTGCCGACGCCTTGATGTTGACCCAGAGAAACTGATTTCGGACTTCTGGCCTTCAGAATGGCGAGAGGATAAATAAACCTCTGTTTTGAGCTGCCACGTTTGTGGCAATTTGTTCCAGCAGCCACAGCAAAGAAATAGAACAACTGACTTGTCTCAGGCAGGGTTCTTAGGTGGCCAGCAAGGCAAATTCCCTCTGGCTAATCACCTTAGTAGGAAAGCAACTCGGGTCTCCATGCCTTGGAGAGCGTTAAGAATTGATGGTGTTTAGTAGGGCAAGGCTTCTCTCTGGGCAGAAGCTCCCACTGGTGTGTTGTCAGCAGGTTACGAAGAAATGATAAAGCTCCTGCAATGTGTTCTTTCTTTATCAGGCATGTTTTACGTATCGGGCACTACTCGAAGACCTTTACGTACTTCTTAATCCTTCTGAAAGCCTGGGATGGCCTGGCTAAGCCACTCATCTAAGGTGACACAGTGACTGGCTGAAGAAATCCCAGGATTCCTACCACATCAGACCTTTGTCCATTGCCTCAACCTGGCTCCTTTTTAGAAGTGCGAATAAGATCTGTTTAACACTGAACTCTGAGACAAGGGGAACAGAGAGCCAAGATTTAATGGGATTTCTAAAATCCCAGTTCTCCATATTCAGATGTCCTCAAACCATGGAAGAAAACCTCATGCTTCAGGAGCTTTTAGCATTGCATGAGTCATGCATTCGGGACTTTACCACCGGCCTGATGGCTTTCTGCCGACTCAGGGCTTCCATGAGCATCCTCTTGAAGATTAGGGAGGTGCCTCTAGATCCAGCCTGACCTGTAATCCAGTCCTTTACTTATGCGTGCCTCTCGGTTTTTCCATCTCCTCCTCCTGTTAGCAAACGGAACATGCACTGTTTTAGAGAATCAAGCCTCACCACGAAGGGCTGATATTGAGCGTGGATATTCTGCTCTAACAGCCCCAGACCTATTTCATCTCAGTTAGAACTTGACAGCGAGTTCTCCCGGTGAGGTCCCTCCCTGAGCCCGTCAGCAGCCCAGGGTTTATGAATCACCCCACCAAAGGCTTCTGCCGCCGCACCACAGCAAACTAAACAAATTCTTTCCACGTTAGCCGGAGGGTTAAAAAAAGAAGTGTGCTCTACAGGAGATATAATTTTGAACCGAGCCCTAGAAAGAGAATAAAAAGGAAGCCAGACCTCAGTCAACCATGTGCAGAGGGGCCAAACTGACTTCCTTGCTTTGTGACTTCTGATGTGGCAGCTTCCAAGGAGGGGCTTTCCACAGAAAGCTGGGGGGTCCAGGCCAGAACGTGGGGGCCAAGGTGCAGAACTCTCTCGAATGTGGCCAAGGACTGAAATTCACTGCCAGGAAGGCTGTTGCTCTGAGTTCTGTACGAAAATGCCCCCTCGCAGGGGGTGGAGCTGGGAGAGGGGCTCCCCCATCTTCTTGCACCTCTCACCCCTTCCTCCTCGTATTCAGTTACTGAGTCCCGAGGCTTCCAGCAGGCTCCACGAAGCTGCGAAGTCCGAGCAAGGTGCACCAGTGGCCCAGACCAGCAAACATCTGACAGTCTTCAGACTGAAGGTGAGGGTTGAGAGAGCAGCCTGGCCTTCCTCTGGGGGAAGGTGGAGGGACACACTGAGGGGCTTTGAGTCTGTACTCTGTCTTGGCGGATTCCTCTCTGCCCTCGAGCTTGTGTGCCCTCAGCAAAACAGAAGACCTACGTAACAGAACCTATGCTCCTTGGAAGGCCATGTCCTAACTGTCAGTCTCATGCCCCTAGGGGGGCTCCTGCGTGGTGCGATTGCACCCTATCTGGTGTCTCTGTCCCCTCCTACCCCCAGGGCCTCTGAGCCCAGGCGCACCTGGCTCCTCCCTGCCCCAGACTGCTCTCCCCCTCCTCTTCCTCCCTCAGAGAACCAGCAGAGGTTGGCTCTCTCCTCTCTCGCTCAGTGCTGTATGGCGGACACGGCACAGAACGGTTGAATTCTCATTGACTCCCAAGTTCACCTCTGAGCCACGGGCAGTACCTTTTAAATGCAGCGAGGAGTTTAGCAGAACCTTCTTCTTGTCCAAGTGACAATATTTGCAGTGATTTAAAAAAAAAAAAAACAACTCAGCAATTAGAAGGTCAGGAAAATTCCATCTTGTAGGAGAATCGTGATGTACTGGGCTGAATGGTGCTCCCTCCAAAAGGCCTGTCTACCTGGAAACCTCAGAATGTGACCTTATTTGGAAATCAGGTCTTTGTGGATGTAATTCATTAAGGAAGGTCGTCCTGGATTTAGGGCAGGCCCGATATCCAATGCCTGGTGTCCTTATAAGAAGGCCATGTGAGGGCACAGAGAACACACAGAGAAGAATGCCAGGTGACCACACAGACGGAGATTGCAGTGAGGAGTCTGCAAGCCAAGGAGCACCAACGGTTGTTGGCATCCCCCAGAAGCTAGGAGCTGCCTGGACTAGATGCTTCCTCGGAGCCTCCAGAAGGAACCACGCCTGCCCACACCTTGATTTCGGATTTCTGGCCTCCAGAACCGTGAGAGAATAATTTCTGTTGTTTTAAGACACCCAGTTTGTGGTGATTTGTCATGGCAGCCCTGGAAAACTCATACACAGGGTCGTCAGACGCATGGGCTATGTCCCACACCACAGTGGATTTCTTTTTTTCCCCATTATCTCACAAAGCCCACAACCACAGAAAGGGACCACCACAATGACTCTCATCCCCGACTGTCGGTAACGCAATGCTGAAGGCAGCATCACTCACCCGAATTGGATGGCCTGAGAATTTTCCAGTCTGTAAGAAACAGCATTTTCGTGACTGAAAATGGTATTATAGGACAGTGGGGATCCTTTTTCCTTAATTCTAGTCATTTGGTGGCTGAAAAATCTTTTGCAGCAGGAAATTTAAGTGATAGCTTGAATGTTTGATTTTTCCAAGGTTAGGAGCGTGTTGGGGCCTCCTGTCTGGGGACCTCACTGGCTTTTGCATCTTGCAAGGTACCCCCACCTGCTGAGTTGGGGGTAACAGAAAACCCTACAGGAAAGAGCCATGGGCCCGAGGCACAGCTCGGGCACGTCTTTGGGCTGCTGAAAGGGAAAGAACAGTGTTGGACCAGGTGACTTCACCTGCAATGAACCGAAGCTGTTGGACAGCACACCCCCCCCCCCCCCCCCTCCCCCACACCGGCTGCCCCAAACCCTGGCCCTTTGAACTCATCTCTTCGCAAATCCAGACCCAAGCAATCAGCTCTGTGTGTGTAAATTTTCCCATTTTATAGACAAGAGGGTGGGAATTCAGTGGGGTTGAAATTCTTCCTTTCAAAAACCTGATGAGCTTCTCTGGAATGCCAGCCTTCCGGAAGCTTCTCTGCTCAGTGCCTGTTAATCCTCTATTGAGAGCTGATAATGAGGTTGGGGTGTTTTTTCTTTAGATGGATAAAAGGAGCATTACTTTCTTTTTTTTCTGGCCTGTAATGTCTAGGCAAGTTATTTTTTTGCCCATTAAAATGTGTCGTTGTTTACCATATTGGTTTTCATGTTTCACAAGATGATTAATAATTGCACTTTCTTTGTTTAAAAAAAACAAGTAGGGGGGATGCTTCTCCCCTCAGACGATTGAGTGTGTCCTGAAGAGAAGCCTGACTCAAAGTTCCACACTCTTCTTTCTTTTCTCTCCTGTTTGTTTTCCTTCTCAGCCTGAGTCTGTGAAGCTGACTTTGCACCTGCTGCTGAAGCAGATGACATATTACTGTCCCAGCTAAAGCAAACAGTGCTTGCGTTTGGTTTTAATGTGACCACCTCCGATGGACGGATGGGCTGAGAACACTCAACAGAAGCTTTTTTTTTTTTTTTTTTGCTTGCAAAATTCCTTTGAGGCAAGTAGAGGTAAACATTTTCACCCTCAGCCAGCCGAGGAAATGTAGTAGAACAGGATTAGTGAGGAAGGGGGGCCGGGGGACAAGAGCCTCTGGAATCCTTTTTGTGCTTCAATAAAAGGTCACAAAGCCCTCTGTGTTCTCTGCCTCCTGAGGGTCCAGACCAGAATTCCTTCTTATCTGAGTCATCTGGCCCCGCCCTGTCCACTGGGCGCAGGTGATGAGTGAGCATCTGAAATGTGGCTGCTGTGAACCCAGGTGTTCTCTAAATATAAAGTTGGTACCAGGTGTCAGAGACTTAGTACCAAGCATATGGCATTAATAGTATTTTTGAGGGGCGCCTGGGTGGCTCAGTCAGTTAAGCGTCTGCCTTCGGCTCAGGTCATGGTCTCAGGGTCCTGGGATCAAGCCCTGCATCGGGCTCCCTGCTCAGCGGGGAGCCTGCTTCTCCCTCTTCCACTCCCCCTGCTTGTGTTCCCTCTCTTGCTGGGTCTCTCTCTGTCAAATAAATAAAGTCTTAAAAAAATAATATTTTTGAGTGGATTGCCCCCTGAGACACAGAGCATTTGACTTTGCTTTTTGTTGATTATCTGATTTGCAGACTCCTGGAAAGCAGGCCTCCCAAAGTACAGCAAAGGATGCAGATCTCCTGACACCCCACGCGAAGCCGAAGGGGTCGGGGCCAAACGCGGTTGGAAAGAGCCCCGGCAGAGTTCCACTGGGGATTTGAAAAGAGGTGAGCAAATACAGGGCTCCTGAGTAAAGTCTTGCAAAGAAGAAACGTGTCTAATTTTGTCACTGTGGCATTTCAGAAATGTGTGCCCGCAGGACTCCTACCTCGTCCTTTTTAAACTTGGCCTCACAGCAGTGATGGTGTCAAGCAAGTACTATTCAGCAGGTCCAGCAAGCCTAGTGTGTAAGGACTGGAACAGCTGCATGGGACAAAGGAACACCCTGTGGAAAAGTGGTGCAAAGCCTGAGACCCTCAGTCCAAAGGTAAGAACTCTATTTAATCGATGGGTTACAGTAAGAGCGTGTTGGGGCCTCCTGTCTGGGGACCCCACTGGCTTTTGCAGCTTGCAAGCATGGCCCAGCTGCAGTGACAGTCCGTCCCCTTGCCTGTGCATCCCAGTAGGAGCTCCTACACCTCCCTCCTTAAAATCAATGAAAGGAACACTATAGCAGTAAAGAATGAAGAGGAGTTTTACATTCAAAATCATTTTGTTGGCTCGACATCTTTCTCAACCACAAATAAGGTCGGGTAAGTAGAGATGACCATCTCCGTGTCACAGAATGAGTCTTTAGGCTGAACCTCTGTGGGCTTGCATGTCATGGGGCCTTTTGAATCTTAAAAGCAGAGCTGGTGGAGGGGGCGCGGTAGACAGAGTCACCACTAAGGACGACAGGTGGAAATCCAAGCCCCGGTTAGGAGGGGTGATTTATAAACCTTGCGGAGGGTCCTCTGCAGGCATTTCAAATATCCCAAGAGGACCAGTTGGCTTCATCTCCTTTTTTTTCCAGCGCTGGGCTAAGAGGGAGGTGTGCACTGTTGGGTTAAGAAATGGAAAAGCAGTGCATTGGAATTCTTTCTTCATATCCTGAAGTTCGCTTGTATTTTTGAAAACAAACAAACAAAGAACAGTTTTATATTTGGTTTTATAGTTAATAAGTGTAATTGTTAAAATAGGGAGGACAAAAATCATACTTCAGAGGATTCATACTTTTGCCTTTCTAATGCATATACAGATATTTTTAAAATTTTTTTCTAGTTGACTTTTACTTCCCCAAGATCTGAACAGAATTGAAAGATGAAAGACCATGGTGCTGTCTGATCACGCATGCTTCTCTCTGACAAGCTTGGAGACATTTGGGCTCATGGTTCCTTCCCATCTGATTTATTATGCTCTTTGACTTTGGGGCAACATCCCACAAACTCAACTCTTAATTACATAGGCTCTTTCTGGGTTGTGAACAAAACAACGAATGCTCTTTCCTCCCCATATGGGTTGAAACGTCTGGAATGATGTCCAGATTTACCACAATACTGTGGGCTGGCTGGTTTACCTCGTGGCGCTGCCGTCTGCCCAAATGTCTTGGTGCCTCATGTTGTCTAACCCCCGGGCACCTTATGGCCTTCCAGCTCACAACCTTCCCTTTCCTCAACAAGTGTCCCCATATGGCAGTCCTGTGGGTGACCCAGCCATCTCACGGGGCTTGAGTCCCGTGGCTCTAGCTTCCTTCCCCTTTGTGTCATTTCAGGACTCATATTCATGGCTAAACCAAGGATCTCGTGATGGGCTGAACTGCACCAGCTCCAGTGCCTTGCTCACTTCCCACAGATGAGGCCAACCATGGGGTAGTCACATCTTATCAGCTTTTATGAGGGGACAGTGGTACAGTCAACAGCAAGATGGCAGAATCCTGGTTGTCCCTGTGTTGGGTAAACCTCCTAAGAGCTTCCCTAAGAGGGAAGATGGGTTTGAAATCCTTGAATGAATTCATGCTCTTTTCTTGAAATACACTGAGTGGTAACTTCCTGGAGAGCAGGGTCCCTGCCTTATGCTGGTTTTCCTTGTGCCCTTTTGAGCCCCTTGCATGGATTTGAGGATCTTGGGTATTGAGTTCATTGCTGGGACAGAAGAAAGGTCTTTGGATGCTTCTTGCTGAGTTCTGTTTCGGTTCCCTGGTTCTTCATTGGTGTCAATTTATACTGTTTTTCATCTGCCTGGGGACAATGGTATCTGTTCCAAAGGGACAGAATAGGAAATTTAATTAATGTGTTTAAAATTCAAACCCAAAATACTAGGATGTGTGACCCTGACGAAAACTAGCTCTTCGAATCCAAATTCACAAGAAAATTATTTGTATCAGGATGAGGATGAGTTTATCTATTGTGTTTGATGGAATTTGCCTGAGGAAAGAACCAGCCCCCCTGCTAGATGTCAGTCCAACACTGAATTGCAGGTTAAAACCTGTTGGATAATTACAGAATTGAGGCACTATGGTCCTCACTCTTCCTAAGGGGCATTTTAATTCTCTATAATGGATCCATTGCCTTTATTCTCCTTCAAGGAGTTTTCACACCTACAACCTGGTCTGTTCCATCTCTTGGAATCAGAGTGTTTCTGCCCTTTGGCAAAGCTGGTTGCAAAGGCTTACTGTTTTTTTTCTTCAGATTCAATGTCAACTGCTGCTTATTCAATTTCTAAATAAGCAAATATATGTGTATGTGTGTTTGCATAGCTTTATTGATCTATAATTTACATATCATAAAAATTTGATATTTTGCATAAACACGAGTACACAATTTAATAGTACTTAGATTTATGGAATTGTGCAGCCACCAGCACAACTCTGTTTTAGAATATTTCTAGCCCTCGGAAAGCTTCCTCTTACCCCCTCCCAGTCAATTCCCATGTTCACCCTTCCCCTGGGCAACCCCTGGTCTGCCTCTGTCCCTGGAGATTTGTTTTTTCCAGACATGTTGTATAAGTGGAAAAATATAATCTGTAGAGTTGTTTTCTGTCTTTTTATTTCATTTAGCATTATGTTCTTGAGGTTGGTCAAGTTGTAGCATGCATCATTCCTTTTTACTGCTGAATGTATTCCATTGTGTGGACGTACTACATTTGGTTGAGAAAAGCATATTTTGAATAGAAACTGACACCAGGTTAGATAGGTTGGGAGTCCAGAGAAAATCTGAGACACGTCACCTGCTCTGAAGGCCCTCAACATTGCTTTGGAGAGGTAAAATGAAGACATATGGAGCAATAAAAGAAAAATTTGTAGTTATGAGAGGTGAGGATGTTAACTAGACTCATGGCGATCATCTCACAATATATACAAATATCAAATCACAATATATACCAATATCAAATTGTACACCTGAAACTAATCCAATGTTATATGTCAGTTATGATAAGGAGAATCTGTGTCCTAAGATGGCAAACCAAGCCAGCGAGAGAGTCCCAGTCCTTGCCCCGGGGCTCTTCCTCGTTCTTCTCCCTGCCCACCTTCCCGCGTGCACCAATCCGGGTTCTTCTCCCTGCCCCGCTTTGTGCACGTGCCAAAAGTGCCAAGTATGCAGAAGTAGAAACATAAATTGCCCCCTTTGTGCTCAGGGCTCAGAACTCTGGAGACCACTCTCCTCTGAGCCCACTGATGTCAAATAAACCTCCTATCCTCCAAGATCTCCGAATGCCGCTTGGTTCTTCCATGGTGTGATCCAGTCCAGGTTCCATAACAGTTACACCTCGCTAAAAAAAGAAAAAGACCTGGAAGAGAAAAGTAACATTAAAAAGTAGTGTTTAAGACAGAGACTGGCAGAGCGATGGGACCTGGAGTGCAGTGGAGAAAGTTTGAGTCAGAGACATCAGTTGGATGATTCTAGAACAGATTCTGATGAAGGACTGAGGAGAGGAATGCAGAGGGGCTGTCTGGCCCAGACTCACCATGGCCACTCTCCCCCAGGCTCTTCCTCGCCCCCCACACACGTGGGGGTTGCTCACAGGCCTGAAGATGCACCAGCCTTCCCCTCCTCAAGGCCCCACTTGCTGCTGGAGCCCTGGAACAGCTCTCACCACTCCCCCCCACTCCTTAAAGCATCCACCCTGTCATTCACTACCTGGTCTCCCTACTCATGTTCTTCACGAGCACTTACCATTTAGCGGAAGCCGTGATGATCTCACTTTCCTGTTTCTTTTCTACCCCAAGTCTCAGGCTTCTACCTTCCTTATTTCTTAGTTAATCCCTGTGTCTGGTACAGTGCCTCGCTTACCTCAAAAACTATTTGTTGAATGCATGCAACTTGCACGTGAGACATTGCACAAGGAAAGTAGCGAGGCTTTAGACAATGAAGAGGTTGGGTCAATTAATTCTCAGTAAGCCTGGTGCTATCATCAAAGACAGGCAATTGGGGGGCTGGCGGGGGCTTCTGCGGCAATGTGGGGAACTCTGCGTAAACACATGGCATCTCTGCTAATGTGGTGGACGATCACCAGAAAGAGCCCAGTAGGAGACAGAGGACAGGAACAGAGAGAAGACAGTCAGGATGGAGAAAAGGGGAGAGCAGGTATATTTCGTATGACAGAAAAAATAGAAACCACCCAGAGGGTAGATGGACCCCAAGAAAGCTGCAAAGGAAGGGAGCAAGGGTCAAGGCCAGAGGGGCGAGGTAGTACATCCACAGAGGTGTGAGGAACAGGAATAGGCCTGGTGCTCCTTCTCCCTGGCAGCTTAAGCCCATCACAGCCTCTGCATATCTTCCAAGCTGCATAGACCTCTACCCCCACCTTATCTGCTCTGAAACTTTACAGATTACTTAAGAGCTAGCAGGAACTTATAAGGCATTTTGTCCAATGTCCTTATTTTGCAGATGAGAAACTTTGAGAGAGAGAAATGCTTACACAGTTAGTGGCAGAGGTAGGTCTGTAATCTGACTCCCCGACTTCTCAATACAGTCTCCTCTTCATTTCTCCGTATTTCTTAGACTTTGAATTAAAACAACCATATTCGGAATATCCCAAGCATCTGTCTAATGTCTGTAAGATTCATTCCTCTCAGTTTCCTGGCAATCCCTGGGGAGAGAAAAAAGTGGACACAGAGTGACATGCAATTATTTCAATATTGGAACCATGTTTTGAGGAATCCAGTAAGCCAAGTGAAGAATCTAAGGTGGTCCACAAACTATGATTAAACAGGATCTTTTCTGCATGATTGACACCGAATCCAACTTTGACAGTGAGCTAACATCCAGGGGAGCTAGTTATCTTGATTTTAATAAACCCCAGAGACTGGGCTTCCGGCATTGGCTACTTGACAGAGTCAACTAATGTGAAATGCCTCCAGCTACAAATGTCTAAAAATGTTAAATAAAATATGACAAAGTTTATTTAAAATATGTAATTGAATTAACAAACAAGAAAGAGAGACCCTCGGATGCTAGAGGCAAAGAGGGAACCAAAGATCAATATAGCGTGATTTGCAGTCATAGTCAGGAGAAGTGGGAGTAGGGAGTTAATCCACCCAGAAACACACCCTGCTACCCGAGCCTTTGTTCTCACTCGGTGAAGACAGTACATGAGATTTGGGGTAGAAATTAGAACTCAGACCTCTGCATAAAGCTGAGATTCTTGAAACTCAGCCCCCTTAATGAAAAGGACACAAAAAACTCCACCCACCAACGAACCTCTGTCTAGGGCTCTGAAAAGGAATAAAGTAAGTCTGGGTTGATATTATCTATGTGGTGCAGCAATCCCAAGGTTGAGCTTGTAACATATAAATTGATCCTGCATTGATAATACCCCCGGAAGTGATTCAAGACCTTGAGATAATGGAATTATCTGGGAAAAAAAACCCACAAAAAAATCAGTATACTCAAAGCTATGAAAGCACTTTTACAGAAGGGATGGACTATTAGGAAGGATAATGCATGTTGAAAACAGAACAAACTGATTGGTAAAAGAAATGTTAGAAACGTGAAGCGTAGTCTGAATGGAAGGTAGAACAATCAATGATTCAGTTAAGCTCCTGTTCCTAACCTGTGACTAAATGTTCCTTTCATCTTTTAGTTGCATTAAAGCTCATTTAAAAAATTATCCCAGGGAGAGCCTGGCTGGCTCAGTCAGTAGAGCATCCGACTCTTGATCTTGGGGTCATGAGTTCAAGCCCCACACTGGGTGCAGAGCCTAGTTAAAAAAAGAAAAGAAAAGAAAAGAAAAGAAATTAATACAAATAAATCAGTAATCACAGTAAGCATGAACAAAGATACCTCAATAGTTAAGAGTCATATTAGCTCAAATTCTAGAGCAGGTTGTTTTCTCCTTTCTGTCGTTCAGAGGAACTCGTAAAATACAATCTGTTGGTGCACTACGCTGTTTTGAGCAGAGAGCACCCCGGCAAGAGTCGGATCTGACACAGTTGAGTTTGCTACGGCCGCTTGGAGGCTCGGAGTCATGGACGATGAACTACGTGAAGTCAGGAACTGGCTCCAGCATTTTCTGGTTTTGTAACCATGGGCAAGCTCCTGAGTTTCTCATTTGTAAAACTAAGGGGATTTCTTCCCCTTCACCTCATCACTTGACACAGTCCCATTAAAAGACTAACGTGGGAAGACCATAATCAAGTTCTACATAGAAACCCAAGTTCCGAGGTCTAAACGACAATCTAGCTGTTCGTCGCTAGAAGGCAACAAGTGACTCTTGATATTTTTCAGTCTTGCTTTTACCCACCGTTAAAAACCATCCTGGCCCTATCAGGACACCTTAGAACCAGTTTTGTTTTTGTTTTGTTTCTGTTTCTGTTTTTGTTTTGTTTTTAGGGGGGGAAAGAGAGGAGGGGCAGAGGGAGATGGAGAGAGAATCTCAAGCAGACTCAGTGCTGAGTGCAGAGCCCTACTTAGGGCTTGCCTATGACCCTGAGATCATGACCTGAACCAAAATCAGGAGCCGGACTCCCAACCAACTGAGTGCCCCAGGCGCCCCAAGGACACCTTAGAACCAGTTTAAATTTACATGCCACTTTCCTCTCTTTGCATTG